CCATTTCTTTTGCAGAACAGCAGATATGAGACTAGTATGCCAGTCAAAGTATGACCGTTGTTCGTTTGATTCGTGAAACCTTAATGGAGCCCACGAATAATGCAAGACCATGAGTCCCAAGTACGGACGTACTCTCCAGCAGGCAACTCATTGCGGAAGTCGTCTCAAAGATTGCTCAAAGAGATGCTTAGTGTCCCTTTAATCGCAGGTAAGGTCGATTGGACTCCCAGAAGCAAGTTTGACACCAACGCCCTTTGTTTCACTGGACTCTCCGAGGCAGTGGAAACGAAACCACAGAAACAATTTGCAAACAGTATGGAGACGTTGAAGATGCACCTGACTGTGACGCATACGCAAACAAATTGGCGCAAACAAAGCATATTGAACGTGCAGTTCGCTTAAGTTACCCGCCGCTGACGCGTTGACGGGCCCTAGTGTGGCAGATGGCGCATACGTTACAGTGCTTTGCATTGCCGTTTGCACACCGAAATCGCGAAAATTATGTTTGGTTTTGTATGTTCGTCACAGATTGTCACGCATCGGGACAACTTTGGGAATTTTGAATTTCTCAAACCCAACTTTTGTTGTGCCTCAGGTATTGCATGAGATGTGCGCGCGAATCATCGTTTGCCATGATGAGCAACAGCTTTCACCGCAGGAGATTGCAGGCCTTGTTGGATGTTGCGTCCGGTAAGTGGTTTCTTACTTCCCGATTTGAGGGTCACGGTACAACACACACAAACACGATTTCCAAAATTCGTTGTGCAAACGGCAGTGCAAAGCACTGTAGGTTAAATTTTCAGCCAACATGCTCCACATATCATTATTATCATTTCTTTGGTATGTGTTTGGTTACTGGTAATCTGCCATATGTGTGCGCTGCACTCGGTACATATTTTCTGATCCTTTTCTTACCAGATAAAACCGTTGACTCGGCGCTTCAACACCACCCCTACGTTAGCTGAGAGTCACGGTGTCGCTCAATAGTCAAGACTTCAAGTCAGGATATAATCGAGGTCTAACCAATCTCTGTTGGTATGTCGGTCAGTACACGCGCTGTCAGTGATGTCGAGCTTTCCATCATTACTTGATTAACACTGCGCGAAAGCCGGGTTCAATTCCCGGACAGAGAGTCAAAGACTTCTTCACTCGTTTTTGTCGCTTATAATATCAGATTGGATAACCAGCAGATCCGAAATTTGGGAGGTCGTGGTTTGCGCTTCTAATTTTTGGAAGATCAAGTTGGATAGCATATATTTTTGCTCTCCATTCGTTGGATCGTTACTGTGATACAGTGCCCTACCTGGTGCATCTTGATTCTCTTAAAGAATTGTGGATGACTTGATACATTTGAAAAAAATTCACAGAGGCTGGGGTTCAGTTCATTCCTATCGTGCTTCGTAAGCAAAAAGAAGGACGAGAATCGACCACTATGCACAATCCAATCCGTGTCGGATCTCTTCAAATGACAACTCTAATCACTCTTTGTTAGTATATCGGTTAGTACACGCGCCTGTCATATAGTGGTATAAGTGTTGATGTCCGCGCGAAAGCTGGGTTCGACTCCCAGACAGAGAGATAGCTGATCATCAATCAATATACATATTTTCAAAAAAAAGAAGATACACATGACGTTCGCCTTTTTTGAACAGAACGTAAATGAATCGTATTATAACGCACACCTTCACAATGTATAAAGCAACATCCCCCAACTTCTCAAATTGTACTAACCCTCGTTGAAAAACACAATCAAAAAGTCAAGGACACAAGCCGTACCGTAGTAAAATTATCCCCACAACCAACCC